TAACATGACTATGTGGTCATTTTGCACGATTTTTGTGATCATTTACTGTCAATTTGAGTCATTTTGTAGCCAATTAACATGACTATGTGGTCATTTTGCACGATTTTTGTGATCATTTACTGTCAATTTGAGTCATTTTGTAGCCAATTAACATGACTATGTGGTGATTTTGCACGATTTTGTGGTTATTTTGTGGTCGATTTGTGCTTGTTCTTTGTCTTTTTGTAGCTATTTAGAATGACTCTGTAGTCATTTTCATGTATTTGTGTCACTTTGTGCTTGTCCTGTATCTTTTGTAGCCATTTGGCATGATTCTGGTCATTTTGCATGCTTTTATGATCATTATGTGGTTTTACATCTTTTTTTTTGGTCAATTTGTAGTTATTTTTGCATCACTCTGTGGTCATTTTGCATGATTTTGTGATCATTTAGTGTCAATTTGAGTCCTTTTGTAGCCATTTAGCATGACTCTGTGGTCATTTTGCGTGATTTTGTGATTATTTTGTGGTCAATCTGTGGTTGTTCTTTGTCTTTTTGTAGCCATTTAGAATGACTCTGGGGTCATTTTGCATGAGACTGTTGCAGTTTGGTGTCATCCTGCATCACTTTGTGGTTATTTGGGTGGGTTATGTCATTTCTCGGTTATTTTGTGTCCCTATGTGACACTTTGCAGACATTTTGTGAACATTTTGTAGTGATTTTTAGTCAATTTGGTTGTTTTGCATCACTTTGCAGTTGTTCGGTGTCACTTGTTACTGATTTTGTGATTATTTTAAATCACATCACACTCTGGGTATTCTGTCTCACTTTGTAGACGCCTCGTGTTGCCGTCCGGCTGTTCTCACCGGAATAGTTCCCGGACGTGGTTGGCCAGCTCCGGTCCGATGCCGTCTCCAGGAATCAGAGTCACCGTGTGTCTGCCGCCGTACTGCGCAGGTGGAGGCTGTAATGCACAAACACACACTGTGGATGCAACCAAACCACTGAGAAGACAACTGGACAGACTGCTAACTCGCTATTCCAACAAATTCTCATACAGGACGTGTCAGCAGCCGTACTCACGATGGACTTGTGTGGGTGGATGGAGGAAGAAGAGGTTCAGACCAGAGGAGAGAAAACAGGAGGTCAATATGACAGACAGGACGGTGAAACGTGCATCACAAACACATACATGACACAGAACAAAGATACGTCTGTGAACGTGAAACCACTTCTCTGTGGTTATGGGGTCGTCAGGTTGGGAAGGAGGTGAACGTGGGGAAGCAACAAACTCGATCGTAAACTCGCAGCTTCTGTTTTTTATTGTTTACGACTTACAGTGTAAGTGTGTTTCCGGTTGCATGTTGCTGCACCATAAACCTGAGGGTACAAAGAGAAAAGTGATTGTCTGCAGATAAAGTAAACATTAAAACCAAGTAATAAAACCTGCAAGAAATAAGTCTGCACAATATTCTGACATTCAGCTGTGAGGTTTGTGGTTTTTTTTCTGAGCTGATTAAATTGTTGCACTTAGAAAACTCTCAAAGTGACTTCAATGACTTGCACATAATTCAATTTGTGATGATTTTGGCTCTCTTTGTGTTCTCACTGTGTGTCAGTTTGTCGTTGTTTTGTGCTACTTTGTGGNATTATGTCTAAGTTCAACAATAAAGTGTTTGTTCTTGTGTAAAACTAAAGAAGAAGAAGTTTTATTGTCATTGTACAAACAACAAAACAACAAAAGTAACAACAAATTTTCATTTGGTATCATCTCTGTAGCAGCTAATATGGTCAAAGTTCTAAGAAAGAAAAAAAAGTTAAGAGGTGATATAAATAAAAACAAACTATATTACAAGTACAGGCTCCAGAGTAGAAGCTCAGCGCATCAAAAGTCAGTCACTTTTCATTATTGACGTTCAAATCTTTCATTTTTTTCAACACTTTGCTTGTCTAACTTTATTGTTAAGGTCAGACTCTTTCTGTTCAAAATACCCCGAGGGTTTTCTACTGTGTTCAAGTCAGACAACAAACTTGTCCAGGTCCTAGATTTCAAGTTTTTCCTTCCTGTTACTTACTGTGTACCTCCTGGTTGCTGTATACCAACACGACCTCGACACAAAACAACATTCCAGTAACGCCTCATGAAGCCGGTGAACATACTACCAACAGTGTGCAACAGTGGCTACCACGATGAATCTAAAATATGAATCACGGTTTTCCTTTGTTTATACTTTTTTCTCACAAGTCGTCAGTTCTGTTGCGCCACATTACAATAGAACAATAAAGAACAACCTTTGACTGAGGATAGGCATTCATACTTTTGATATGTTCTGATTTCCATCGTTATATCTCCACTGACAGATTTTCTCACAGTTACCTTTCAGTGCGACTCCATTGCGTCTGATGGCCATGATGGCATTATTGATGTCGTCCTCTGAGGCCGAGGTCGAGTCCACATTGACGACTTCAAAGTCCACCGGCACGCAGCAGAACCTGAATGTGAACACAGATGGTATGACAGAGCTGAGTCATTTTTTTGTCGTTGGTTACCATCACACTGGTGTCATTTGCTTCACTTTGTGGTTGTTTTTAATTACTCTGTGGTCATTTTC